GCCCGAACGATCAGAATCAGATCCACGCTGATCCATGCAGCGATTCCCAGACCATCTGCGGGCCGGATCCAGAAGGCAACTGGGCCAGATCTGCCCCCCCCCCCAGCCTTAGTTTGCCGACCCATGCCTTAGACCTAGGGGTCAAATGTGCCTCTCCAGACCTCTTTGTTGTTGGAGAACAGTCAATATATTTCAGAGAGAAAGCCAGGTAAGGCTACTGATTGTTAGGGTAAAGGAAAGTTTTGGTTTGGTACTCACAGCAAACAAAGCTATCCTAAGGCTTGGCTGGAGGAAAGTGGCAGAGCACTTTCGCTTGTCTGGGTGGAGGAGTTTGTTGGTGCAGAAAGCTCTGTTTTCGCATGACTGGCATGTAGCCTACTGCATAAGTGACACCTGCTCCCCTGCTCAGTTTTGCCTCTAAGTCCCACCCCATCACTGGTATGGTTGCTCCTGCAGGAATATGACCCATGTGCTGAAAAAGGGTTAATCTTAAGGTGTTTGCTCCAGAGGGCAAGAGTAGAGATTACAGGAGTACAGGAGGTTAGATTTTGTTTGAACATTAGGAGAAATCTCTTGATAACAAGTGCGGTATGATCCTGATACCAATTTAGCAAGAGGGGTAGCGATGGATTCTCTCCCCAAGGAGAGGGTGGGCAGTCATTTATTAAGAACATAGGAAGATCTTTGCTGGATCAGGCCAGGATCATCCTGCTCTCATTGTGGCCAAACATATATCTGTAGGTGACCTACAAGCAGGAGTCTCCCTTTCTGCAGCTTCCAGAATCGGGTATTCTGAGTTACTTCTGCCTCTGACTTGGAGGGCACTAGAAGCCATTGAATTTGTCTCCTCCATGAATGTGTCTAATTCTCTTTTGAAGCCATCCAAGTTGGTGGCCATCACTGGGAGATTTTCGGGGGGGGGGCGGAATTCCACACTTTAACTATGTGCTGTGTAAATGAGTGCATTTTATAAACTTCAGTCATGTCACCGAACTTAGTGACCTTTTCTCTAAGCTAAAAAGTCCCAAATGATGCAATCTTTCACGTAGGGGAGTCGCTCCACCCCCTTCATTGTTTTGCTTGCCCTTTGCTGAGTGTTATTGGGGAGGCTCTGCCTCTGGATTCCTGGGACGCGGGTGGCGCTGTGGGTTAAACCACAGAGCCTAGGACTTGCCGATCAGAAGGTTGGTGGTTCAAATCCCTGCGATGGGGTGAGCTCCCGTTGCTCGGTCCCTGGTCCTGCCAACCTAGCAGTTCGAAAGCACACCGGTGCAAGTAGATAAATAGGTACCGCTCCGGCGGGAAGGTAAACGGTGTTTCTGTGTGCTGCTCTGGTTCGCCAGAAGCGGCTTAGTCATGCTGGCCACATGACTTGGAAGCTGTATGCTGGCTCCCTCGGCCAATAAAGCGAGATGAGCGCCGTAACCCCAGAGTCGTCCGTAACTGGACCTAATGGTCAAGGGTCCCTTTACCTTTACCTCTGAATTCATTTCCTTGAGCAAGGGGTTGTGCTGGATGCCCTCTCAAACCCCATGGAAACCCCTGGGTTCATGATTTAGGGTAACATTTCAGATAGATAAATAATTTCACAAGCGGCATTGGCAAATCCTTTCCGTTTTCAAGAAGAGAATTGAGATCTGTAGTCTGCCCTTTGGACTGCATTACTTCCACACCAAGGTCCAAATAGTGACAACAAGCGCCAGGAAGTATTTTCAAGAGATGTTGGCAGACATCTCTTTAGGTAGAAGGACAGAATTCTTGAGTCTTCAGTTCAACATATTATGAAGTGGGAGACATATTAATAAGCTGAAAACCCACCTTTCAAAAAATGTAAAGCATTCGGAAACAGTTTTTTTCTCTCTCTCTTTTCCTCTTTCTTTCTTTCTTTCTTTCTTTCTTTCTTTCTTTTTTTTCTTTCTTCCTCCTTCCCTTCCTCCTCCCTCCCTCCCTCCCTCCCTCCCTCCCTTCCTTTCTCTTTCTTCTTTCTTTCTTTCTTTCTTTCTTTCTTTCTTTCTTTCTTTCTTTCTTTCTTTTTTACCTTCTTTCCTTCTTTCCTCCATAATTGTTATTGCCCTCTGCATGATTGCTCTGGCCTCATATTCCATCTCCCCTCAGAGGCATTCGCAATTCTGTCGTTATTCTTGTATTAGTGCTGAGCCCATTAAAGCTAATTTGTTCACCCTAATCTCTATTTATTTTTCCCTAGTTGATATTAGATTTGCCTCTCTATTGCGCTCTCCTGATTCTGTTCCTTTTGGTCTTTCTAATGGGTTTCTCTGTTAATGGTACCCAACCTTCCTTCCTTCCTTCCTTCCTTCCTTCTTGCTTCCAAACCCGCAAATCCTCCCATTAACTCCTCGCTGCCCTCCTTCTGCTCAGACCCCTGATAGGTGGATTTTTTGCAGTTTTGCCACTCAGGCTCGAGAAATTACCTGTAGCTCTAAGAAAAGCCCAAAAGCACTTGGACAATTGTGCTTTCGGTGAGAAAAAGAGTCTCTTTGGCAGCATCTGTGTGCTACCCCTGCTGGGCTGGGTTCAGGACCCTCGGCAGGCAACGCTTCCTTTGTGCAATGAGGCGGTTCTTCAGAGGATCCAGACACCTTCCTCCTGGCAACACATCTGTTGTGGAGATGTTGCATTTCCCCGGGACTTAAAATAGGCTGCGCCATAGAAACATGATTTGCCCTTGATAGGTACTGTATCAAGGAAACCTACTGGCTCATGTCAGTAATCACACAAGCTCCATTTGAGGATTACTAAAAAATAAAAATAAAACTACCATATGAGAAATATTAAAAGGGACGCGGGTGGTGATGTGGGGTTAAACCACAGAGCCTAGGAATTGCAAATCAGAAGGTCGGCAGTTCGAATCCCCACGACGGGGTGAGCTCCCGTTGCTTGGTCCCTGTTCCTGCCAACCTAGTAGTTTGAAAGCACCTCAAAGTGCAAGTAGATAAATAGGTACCACTCTGGCGGGAAGGTAACCGGTGTTTCCGTGCGCTGCTCTGGTTCACCAGAAGTGGCTTAGTCATGCTGGCCTCATGACCTGGAAGCTGTACGCCGGCTCCCTTGGCCAATAAAACGACATGAGCGCTGCAACCCCAGAGTCGGCCATGACTGGACCTAATGGTCAGGGGTCCCTTTACCTAGTTAGAAAATAAATCATGGAAACTGGGGAGGGGAATGACCTGCAGGAAGAGCCGGCACGCTGAATGCAGCCACTCTGGCAAGGAGGGCATTTTGTATATCTAGTTTCAATCTTGTTGCTTGTCCATGTTCTCTTTTAGAATAGAGCAGTTGGGAGTGTGACTGGACAGAAATAAGTTCAGCTACCAGGAAGTGAGGGAGAGGGAAGGAGGAAGGGAGGGAGAGCTGGACTCTATTGCTTCCTGCTTACCATACGTCAGGAAAATTCCTGACAAGTCCTGATTTTCAGGTGTAAAAATAGAATGGGGTGGGGGGAAATTCTGCTGAATTAGCAAAAAGTAAGGGAAAACCTGGATGTATGTCAACACGACAGAAAAAGCAGTGGAAACAGCTGCAAAAAAATCATTATTTTGGGAACAGGTTTCCCCAGAAAAGCTCAACAATTTTGGTAGTTTCCTAAAAAAAAGAAAGAACCAATTTTCAAATATGGCAACCCTATGTACGGAAGTGAGAGCTGGACCATAAAGAAGGCTGATCACCAAAGAATTGATGCTTCTGAATTCTAGTGCTGGAGGAGACTCTTGAGAGTCCCATGGACTGCAAGAAGATCAAACCGATCCATTCTTAAGGAAATCAGCCCTGAGTGCTCACTGGAAGGACAGATCCTGAAGCTGAGGCTCCAAGACTTTGGCCACCTCATGAGAAGAGAAGACTCCCTGGAAAAGACCCTGATGTTGGGAAAGATGGAGGGCACAAGGAGAAGGGGACGACAGAGGACGAGATGGTGGGACAGTGTTCTCGAAGCTACCAGCATGAGTTTGACCAAACTGTGGGCGGCAGTGGAAGACAGGAGTGCCTGGCGTGCTCTGGTCCATGGGGTCACAAAGAGTCGGACACAACTAAGTGCATTCTGTGTTGGTGGGGTGGGCAGGATCGTAGGCTTCCGTGCTCTCTCTGTGATTCTTGGAACTGGCCTTGTAGGCAGGTCATGTCCTCCTGCCAGAGTCCGCTGCATTTGCCTGGAATCTAAGCTGTACTTCTGATGCGTCAGTTTTAACTCTTGGCTGCGTTCCCTGGGAGCGGGGAAGGGAACTGAGTGGCCAGAGGTCAAGAATGTTAAATGTCTTGACTAGGACTAGGTGTACCTGCAAAACACAAGCCTGGTGATGCCATTGCTCATTCTTATTCAAGGGAAACAAAAATGGTCGGGAGAACAACCTGTTGGACTGGGTGTGATGGCCTGGGATTCGGACTCGGATGCTGAACCTGAGGGATCCCAGCCTGCACAGGAGTCCCCGCCTCCAGAACCAGCTGAGCCGGGGCTGGGGCATGAGCCTGAAGGGTCCTCACCTGTGCTGGGTCCTCAGGTGCAGGCATCAGCTGAGTCTGGCTCCTGAGGTGATGGAGGACCCATTGCCTGCAGGTGCTCCACTCTCAGCCCCGTCAGAGGAAGCTGAGGTTGCCTCTGGGTCCGGTAACCCTCCAGCCTCTCCTGAGCTGCAGAGGCTCAGGGCAGAGAGGCGGAGGGAACTAAGTTCCCGCAGGAGGAGTGCTCGCCTCCAGGCCAGGAGAGGTGAGTCACCAGAGGATCGGGGCCGCCCTATGCCTCGGGGCAGATAAAAGCCGGCCAGCCCCAGTCCCAAGTTGTGGGAGCAATGTTGTTGGTTGCTAGTTCCTGCCTGAACCCTGTCCTGCTTTTCTGCCTGAGCTCCTGACCGGCCCTGGCTCCCTGCTTGCAAGCCTGTTCCTGACTTCACCCAACTCCCTGCCCTGCACCCAGCTTCAGCTACAACGGACTGCCTCCATGTTGCACCTTTCAACCACGGACCAGACTTGGACCTTGTCTCTTGGGTAACCCACGGGACCAGCACACTGTGGCTGGAGGCAGCAATGGCCGAAGAGAGGGTCGGGAGGCAGGCTGGAGCCCCCTGGAGGGGGAGAGGGATATGCCCTGCCCTGCTGGCCTCACAGTCAACTCCAGCAACAGGCTCATTCATCTCCCCACTCCACTTTTGGGAACATCTGTATGATTTTCTCAAGTCTCCTGGCAGTTCATCCCCAGCAGAGTGACATTCAGAAGTTGAGCCTGTCAATCATCCTTCGATGCTGAGAGTCAGACTGCAAGCGAGATGAAAGGTCTGTGAAATATACTGTACTCAGAGTCAAGTGTGGATTTCATGCTCTTTATTCAGCTGATAGTAGTGAGGAATGGATGTTCCCCCACAATATCTGCTTTATATACATTATTTACACAATGGGCCGCACGTGATTGGCTAATTCCGGGATTCTCCTGTGGGCCAATCAGGTTGAGGATTCACCTTCACCTGGAGCTGGATTGGGTGGCTCCTGCGGACCAATCATACTGCTGCATTGTTCTAGGACCAATCAGACTGCTGCATTCCAAATCCTATTGTTCTAAGACCAATCAGACTGCTGCATTCCGAATCCTATTGTTCTAGGACCAATCAGACTGCTGCATTTTTGATCCTATTCAACTCAGTAAATAACAGCCTGGGACTGGAACCAAACTTACGTACTTCTGAGCCCCAGGCCAGACAGACACAAGAATAGAGGTTTCTTAACTATTTGCTCCTTCATCGTGGCCCCAATCCAGCTCGCAGCTGTTATTCCCCCCAACAGGTAATTGAAACTTTGAGGGACAGGCATTTGAACTAGAGCTGTGGCGTTGGGGGGGGCATGGGGTTAGATTTCCTGCACTATAATAATAATAAATAATAATAAATTTTATTTATACCCCACCCTCCCCAGCCAAGACAGGGCGGCTAACACCAAATATAAAAACAATTGATTGAAATAAAACTTTAAAAACAAGATTAAAATACAGCATTAAAACATTAAAATGCAGCCGCCTTTCAGTGGAAACTCAAATAAAAAACTTTTTGGGGGATGAAATCGTCAAGTCTTCACCAATGTTACAAATATCCACGGTCCAGTTCAAAATGGATATTCTTCTCTGGAGGAGAGCAAAGAAATGTCTTTCCCCATTGCAGGTAGGAAAAAAGTGTGTGTAGTGACAGGAAGGAAGAGATAGGGATTCATGTATTTTTAATCTTTTGTTGGAAGCTGCTCAGAGTGGCTGGGGAAACCCAGCCAGATGGGTGGGGTATAAATAAGTAATAATATATATATATAATATTACCCAGTGCTTTTTCTTCCGGGGGTACTCAAGGATACGCAGTACTGGCACCTCTTTTTTGTTGTTGTTAAAAAGTGTAACACTTCATGGTGAGTATTGGCACCTATTATTATAGGGGAAAAGCACTGGGTTAACCCATTGTGTTTTCCCTGTCACCAGGTTTGGGGGGTATAATAGTAATTGTTGTTGTGTTGTTGCTGTTGTTATACTTATACTCTGCTTATCTGCGTGGGGTATACCTATTACGACTGATTGCCCCAGTCAGACATCATAGAGTCCCCTCCATACAGGTTCTGAAACTCTGTGGGCCATAGAGCCTGTTTGCAGCTCTCTAGCAATCATGCGATCCCACACACAAACCGCTGCCACACAAAAGGTGGGTGCCTTTGTCCTCTCCCTGTAGCCCGTCCCCAAACAATGGCAGCTCTCGGTGGCATCTAACTTTCCTCTTCTTTCCCTGCAAGGCTGGGAAACTACTCAGCACCCTCTCCACCACCCACAACTATTGGGGTGGTGCTGCAAATATTGGGGTGGTCCTGGAGAAAAGCACCCCAAGAAGAGGGATAGAAACCCTTCACACTCCAATTAACAAAGCCCCACGCTCCATCTAGAACAGGGGTCAGCAATTTTTTTCAGCAGGGGGCTGGTCCACCACCCCTCAGACCTTGTGGGGGGCCAGACTATATTTTTTTTGGGGGGGGGAATGAACAAATTCCTGGGCCCCACAAATAACCCAGAGATGCATTTGAAATACAGTGGTACCTCGGGTTAAGTACGTAATTCATTCTGGAGGTCCGTTCTTAACCTGAAACTGTTCTTAACCTGAAGCACCACTTTAGCTAGTGGGGCCTCCTGCCGCCGCCACACCGCCAGAGCACAGTTTCTGTTCTCATCCTGAAGCAAAGTTCTTAACCCGAGGTAGTATTTCTGGGTTAGCGGAGTATGTAACCTGAAGCGTTTGTAGCCTGAAGGGTATGTAACCTGAGGTACCACTGTAAAAGCGCACATTCTACTCATGTAAAAACTCGCTGATTCCCGGACTGTCTGCGGGTCTGATTTAGAAGGCGATTGGGCCGGATGCGGCCCCCGGGCCTTAGTTTGCCTACCCATGATCTAGAACCTTTCGTTCACAAAAATAACAGCAGTGGCAACAGCACTGAGACCAGCTCTCCCCATCCCTCTCGGGACTGGGTTTGTGTCTTAGCAGGACACGGAGGATTGAACCAGCTGGGCGGGGCCTTTGTGAATGGCCGGCCCCTGCCAGAGGTGGTGAGGCAGCGCATTGTAGACCTGGCACACCAGGGCGTGAGGCCCTGCGACATCTCCCGACAGCTGCGGGTCAGTCACGGTTGTGTCAGCAAAATCCTTGGCAGGTAAGCATGAAGGTGGCCACTCAGGGCTCTGAAGAGCTGGGGTGAGTAATGACCGTGCCGGAAGACGGATTGGCCTCTCGCTCCGAGAATCCAACTGTTGCATCAAGAAGGAGCTCTAGCAGGGAGGCTAAGAGTAAATCTTTCCCGTGGCCATTTTCAAAGGCCTCATCCCGGAAGCATTCCAGAGGTCAGGGGTGGCCAGCTGGAGGGCTGGGGGCTCCATGGAACAATTTGCTTTGGACCAAACAAATTTAAATCCTATTGTGGCAGAAGTTTTTGCTTGGTTTCTCCTGCAATTTTATTTGTGTTGCTGTTTCACGAGCCCATTTCCCCTCTCAAGGAAGGAGATCTTTCAGAAATCTCATTTCACATGCACTCAAAATCTCTGGATACCCTTATCAACCACATTACAGAGCCTGACCTTGACTGTTCAGCCCTTAGAGTGGTGTTGTCGACGCAGCAGACACTGATCTCCAAAGCAAGGAACTGTGGCTTAACCCTAACCATGATCTTAGGCCGCCTCCAAATGAGCTTCTGTCATTTCTGCTAAACGATAGTTTTGCAAGCTGGGAATGTTAAGTGACTTAAGTGCTGTAGTATTGGGGCTTTGTAAATATAGGACGCCATGTAATCCTCTTGTTGTGTTTTCTTCAAGTGGAAGGGTCCCCTGTCGCCTGAAGAAACACCCTGTGCTTGAGGTGTAAGAAAGAAAAGTGCTGTATACTGTGGGTTTTCCTGGTTGCCTACAGTGCAATTGCTTAATGGAATTTTTGAAAGTACAATAGTGTCTCGCAAGACGAAAAGAATCCGTTCCGCGATTCTCTTCATCTAGCGGTTTTTTTGTCTTGCGAAGCAACCCTATTAGCGGCTTAGCGGATTAGCGCTATTAGCGGTTTAGCGGCTTAGCGGCTATTAGCGGCTTAGCGGCTTAGCTGCTAAAAGGCTATTAGCGGCTTAGCGGCTTAGAAAAAGGGGGGGGAGCGGGAAAAAAATCGCAAGACTTGCAAGACGTTTTCGTCTTGCGAAGCAAGCCCATAGGGAAAATCGTCTTGCGAAGCAACTCAAAAATGGAAAACCCTTTCGTCTAGCGGGTTTTCCGTCTTGCGAGGCATTCGTCTTGCGGGGCACCACTGTATCCACCTTCCTACATGGATGTCTGAGCTAGTGAAGTGAGATGGACGGCCAGTTATGTGAGGCTGCCTCTGAAAAGTGCTCAGAAACTTCAACTGGCTCAAAGAGCTGCAGCGAGACAGGGGCAGGTTATAGGAAACAGATGATTCCCTTGCTGGAAGAACTCCAATGACTATTAACCTGTTTCTGGGCACAATTCAGAATGCTGGTTTGGACCTATAAAGCCCTACATGGCTTAGGCCCAAGTTGTCTGAAAGGCCCTATTCCCTCATGCAAACCTCCCTGCGCCCTGAGTTTTTTGGGGGGAGGCTTCTTGGTCCCACCACCTTCTTGGAGGGCCTTCTTGGTGGCTGCTCCCATACTCTGGGTCTCCCTCCCTGGAGAAGCCAGACTGGCCCCCTCCTTGCTGTCCTTCTGCCAGCAAGTGAAGACTTTCTTGTTCCAACAGGGTTTTGGGAACTGGCTGTTTTTAAGGAAAATACTGGGGCTGTGAAGTTTTCAATAGTAACAATCTGTGTTTTAAAAAGTACTGTGTTTGTGTGTTATTAAAGTTTTATTTTTTAAAAATTGCCACTCCCCCAATGTTCTTAGCTGTTTCTGCTTTAACTGTAAACTGTTTGAAAAAGCTGGGATGTAAATAAATATAATATTCCTAATCCTAAAAATAAATAATTAGATGAGAGAAAGCAGTGAGAAAGCAGATTGTTATTTTTTACTCTGTGAGGAGCCCATTTTGAAATTTCCACTCTCGGCAGGAGCCCATCTCCATGTTTGCAGCGAGATTTCAGCTGGAGGGGTGATGAAACTCTAGGCAATGCCAAGAACATTTCTTGTTGTGAGTGTGGTAATTCTATTACTTTGTCTATTGGAGTAGGTACTACGAGACGGGCAGTATACGGCCAGGGGTGATCGGGGGCTCCAAGCCCAAGGTGGCAACCCCCAAGGTGGTGGAGAAGATTGGAGATTATAAGCGGCAGAACCCCACCATGTTTGCTTGGGAAATCCGGGACCGGCTGTTGGCAGAGGGCGTCTGCGACAACGACACTGTTCCCAGTGTCAGCTCCATCAACAGGTGAGAGCACTCACCACATTCCATTGTGGCGATGGTAACTTGGGTTTATGGGGCCATTGGGCACCTAGCTTATATATCTGAGCTTCTAACACTGGCCAGGACCAGCTTCTGATCTCAGCAATGCTGCGAGCAGATGCAGGACCTGTGCTCTTCCACAGACACCCCCTCCCAGCTGGTTTTCTTTTCTCTCCAGGATCATTCGCACAAAAGTTCAGCAGCCATTTAACCTCCCGATGGAGAACTGCATGGTGCCCAAAACATTGAGCCCTGGCCATAACCTCAGTAAGTGCTCTTTGCATGGCTCCCTCCTGGTCTGCACCCACTTGGCTCCACTCTCTGGGTTCAACTGAAAATAATAATAATAATAATAATAATAATAATAATAATAATAATAATAATAATTTCTTATTTATACCCCGCCCATCTGGCTGAGTTTCCCCAGCCACTCTGGGCGGCTTCCAGTCGAGTGTTAAAAATAATACAGCATTAAATATTAAAAACTTTCATAAACAGGGCTGCCTTCAGGTGTCTTTTAAAGATAAGATAGCTGCTTATTTCCTTGACATCTGAAGGGAGAGCATTCCACAGGGCGGGCGCCACTACTGAGAAGGCCCTCTGCCTGGTTCCCGGTAACCTCACTTCTCACAATGAGGGAACCGCCAGAAGGCCCTCGGTGCTGGATCTCAGTGTCCGGGCTGAACGATGGGGGGGAAATGCTCCTTCAGGTATTCCGGACCGAGGCCATTTAGGGCTTTAAAGGTCAGCACCAACACTTTGAATTGTGCTCGGAAACATACTGGGAGCCAATGCAGATCTCTCAGGACCGATGTTATGTGGTCCTGGCGGCCACTCCCAGTCACCAGTCTAGCTGCCGCATTCTGGCTAGTTGGTGTGGGAATGTTGTGGATAGAAGGAGAGGATATATTGATTAAATATTATCCTTCCTCACTCATACTAGTGAATCAGTAGCAGAGTACATTCCCCAGTATATAGCAGGAAGCTAGTTGGTAGAATCGTTTGAAACTCTTTGCTTAAGCAATCCAATCTGGCTTGTCCAGATTGGGCTTGTCCCTGGTAAATCCCCTTTGTTCCCTCTTAAAAGAAATAATGACACAACAGTCTTTTCTTAAAAGTAATGATAAGAAGTTTACTTACATTCAGTTCACAGTAGGTGCCCTGAGGGCAGGCTTTAGCCTGGAGTTACAGAATAGAGAGTAGGGATTTGAGCCCATGTGCTGCTGGCTGAGAGCCAGCAGACAGCAAAATACACCAAGATGGAATAAAAGAAAGAAGGAAAGATGGCTGCATGACCAGCCCTTTTATGGGGTCTCACAGGGTCACGCCCATTTACCTGGTCACACACCGGGGGGGGGGGGATGCTGTAGACCGGGAGTCAGCAACCTTTTTCAGTCGTGGGCCAGTCCACTGTCCCTCAGATCATGTGGTGGGCCGGACTATATTTTTGGGGGGAAATGAACGAATTCCTATGCCCCACAAATAACCCAGAGATGCATTTTAAATAAAAGCACACATTCTACTCATGTAAAAATACTAGGCAGGCCCCACAATTAACCCAGAGATGCATTTTAAATAAAAGGACACATTCTACTCTTGTAAAAACACGCTGATTCCCGGACCATCCGCAGGCTGGATTGAGAAGGTGATTGGGCTGCATCCGGCCCCCAGGCCTTAGGTTGCTACCCCTGCTGTTGACAGGTGTGACAGGAAGTCCTCCTGGCTGGAGTAACATCCCCCTGTGTGTCCACTCTTGGCAAACAGGAAGTGTTGTACTTGACTACTTATGTTACATCCTACATTTGGTACTACACTTTGACTTGCACGTCAAAGTGCAAGTAGATAAATAGGTACCTCTCCGGTGGGAAGGCAAACGGCGTTTCCGTGCACTGCTCTGGTTTGCCAGAAGCGGCTTAGTCATGCTGGCCACATGACCCGGAAGCTGTACGCCTGCTCCCTCGGCCAATAAAGCGAGATGAGAGCCACAACCCCAGAGTTGGTCACGACTGGACCTAATGGTCAGGGGTCCCTTTACCTTTACAGTTGGTACGAGAGAGAGCGAGGGAGCGAGAGTGCATACAGCAGCCTCCCCCAGCCTGGGCTCTCCAGGTGTTTTTGACTATAACTCCCATGAGGTCCATAGTTTGCATACAGAAGGTCCTGGGTTCAGTCCTCAACATCTCCTGGCGTGGCTGGGAGAAACCCCAGCCTGGAATCTTAGCCAAGTGCCGACAAATACGGAGCCCGATGGCCCAGTGGTCAAACCCAGGAAAAGTCCGCTTCTAATGTTCTACCACTTGCCAACCCTCACATGGAGTCCAGAACTGCTGTAGCGAAGGAGTGCAGGCTTAAGATCAGAGAATGTTCGGCTGCAGGAAATGCCACCAGCAGGGGAGACCAGAGAGAGCCCTTGTTCCTGCAAGGGACAAGGCAGGCATTAAACCAACTGGAGGCCCTGGACTAGGAGACCTTGGGAGGCCCAAACTTAAGAGCATCTGATCATGAAAAATAGAACCTCGTTCTTTTCTTTACTGTTCCTAAGCAACTGGGCCTAGATAGCAAAATCTGCCTGTTTTTTACAAAAGATTTTTGGCAAGAGGTCGAGGCCTCCGTAGATTATGAGGCCCTGGGCTGCAGCCTGTTCGGCCCATATGTAAATCCGCCACTGCCTGCAGGTATTTGGTTACCTGTCGACATAGGTAAAGGTAAAGGGACCCCTGACCATTAGGTCCAGTCGTGACCGACTCTGGGGTTGCGGTGCCCATCTCGCTTTATTGGCCGAGGGAGCCGGCATACAGCTTCCGGGTCATGTGGCCAGCACGACTAAGCCACTTCTGGCAAACCAGAGCAGCGCATGGAAACGCCGTCTACCTTCCCGCCAGAGTGGTACCTATTTATCTACTTGCACTTTGACGTGCTTTCAAACTGCTAGGTTGGCAGGAGCAGGGACCGAGCAACGGGAGCTCACCCCATTGCAGGGATTTGAACTGCCGACCTTCTGATCAGCAAGTCCTAGGCTCTGTGATTTAACCCACAGCGCCACCCGCGTCCCTACCTGTCGACATACACCTTTTTTAAAACCGTAAAATGCAAGGTTTCTTATAAGCCAGAAGTACACAGGAGAGCAGGTGACAACCAGCAGCACAAGGGTGTCGCTTCAAGCCAGGCAAGGCTTGCGAACCCCTTGAGCTGCCTTTCCTCCCTTTTTCCTGCCCGGTCCCCCATAACTGCAAGAGCAAATCTTATTTTTAATAGAACTCTTTTGCACAAGAGCAGTTCTGCACAAAAGAACTGTTTTCAGAATAAAAGTATTGTGAAGGCGACTTCAATAACTGGTGGAGAAGGGCTGGCCGCATCCTTTCCTTTGGGCTTTCCCCCCATTTCACTTTGGAAGTGATTCTGCTGTATTATTAAAATTGTATTAATAAAATTATGATAATTATTATTTTTAAAGTAGGAGTAGGGGGTGTGGCAAATGATGGCACCCAGCAAACCAAATGTGTGTCCACAATCAGGTGCCGTGTGGTTGTTGTTTTTTGAGATTTTCTTCCCTTATAGCGTTGTGCATGGATCAGGAAAATCTTCATGTAGGGCGGGGGATGGGGGGGGAGTGCAGTTTGCCACCTGGATAAAGAGGAGGTCATGAGGATGCTGCAAAAATGAAAATAGAGACACAAGCAGCTTCAAATACACATTAAACTCCACTGTCGATGAGCCTTAAGTATTGAAAGGTTCTTAATTTTTGGGGGGGGTGCGGTGGGGAGGGAGACATGTAATTGTTGGGTTTTTTTTGTAGAGAATTTTTTTTATTAGTTTCTATAATCAAACCCATGTAAATAAGACCTTAGCATATTTAATACAGTGTTACCCCTGTACAAATGAAAAAAAAGTTTAAACATTTCTATTTTTTTCCAAATTTTTAAATTAATTTTCCACATTTATAACAAAAATGACATATAAAAACACAAAACAAAACACCTTACAATACTAAAAGAAATAAAATAAAATAAAGAATAAAAACACTTTTTACTTCAGAATCCAAATTAACTTTCATTGTAATCCGACTTCCTCGATTCCCCCCAACTGAATTTCATCGTAACACCTTTGTAACAGTTTTCCAAAATCATCTTCCTAATACAATTAACACCTTCAATTAACTATCTTCCTCTCTTTTCTTTTTGTCTTAAATCAGTATTGCTATACAACGTTCTTATTCTAGTCCTAGGCCCATCAGATACTTTCAAGTATCTTCTAATGATCTTATATTACAATATTTAGCTAAATAATCTTTAAATTTCTTCCAATCTTCTTGGTGTTCCTCTTCTTTCCTCTTCTTCCAGTCAGGTTGGCCAGCTCCAAAAAGTCCAACATCTTCACCTGCCATTCTTCTACAGATGGTATTTAAAAGTTTAAACATTTCTAGACCAATATGGCTGTTAATTTCTGTACAATGCCAACTCACAGTACAAGTGGATATCTTTTCCCCAAAGCTTGTAATTGTGATTTTTTGTAAATAGCCCTACTGATGTTGTTTGTTAAAGTGATTTCCCAACCTTGCCTCCTGAAGAGCGATAGAAACATCTGATAGCTGGCTTGGAATCTCTGCCGTTGTTCCATGGCAGCAAAGTGAAGCTGCGTCCTTCGGTCCTAGCTGGAGAGGAGCGTTCCCATGCTGAGCACCGTCCTAGGCCACCCTTGCCCTTTGCGAGTTCCCCACTTGGCCAGTCCTCCTAACTGCTCTTCACCTCCACAATCCAGTGTGCCCTAGAAGAGGGGTTGGGGGTGTTTTCCTGGGAGGGCCTGCTGACATTTCTCCGCTGACCCCCGCCTGCTGTGTCTCCTCCAGTCCCCAGCTCAGCTGTGACTCCTCCTGAGTCACCCCAGTCAGACTCTCTGGGCTCCTCCACCTACTCCATCAACGGCCTTCTAGGGATCGGCTCCCCCAGCAGCGACCACAAGAGAAAAATCCAGGACAGTAAGTGACGTTGGGCTGGGAGGGCGCGGCAGGGTCTGACTCTGGGCACCTCTGTTGCTAACATGTAGTTTCTCCAGGTTGTGAGTGTAGGTTCGGAAGTGCTGTGGTTGATGAGGGGACTCTTACACAGCCGCTTGTTTCGTGCCAAAAAGGATGGAAACCGCAAGCTAAGGCTCCAGACTGACTTCTGTTTGGTTCTAAGTTTGCTCCGTAACCAGCAATGGTGTGAGACTATAGGTCTCACATTGTGCCTGTTTAACTTTGGACACCTCACTTGCTCACAATAACTCTGTTGCATGCTACGGTGGGGACGGAAATGCTCCTGTAAGCCAAACAAAGTTTCTTTTTTATAAAAAAAAGTTGATGTTTATTGGTTTTTTATAATTACATACTATACAGACACATATTATTTTACATTTTACATTTATTCTTGCTCTCATATATATATACGTTATATATAGAGAAGATGATGTGAAATAGGGAAACCAGTAGAACTGAAATAAACCTCATAACCGGAAAATACAAAGAAATTTATTGGACAATAATATCAAAATAAATTAAAAATGTATATTATGACCAAGGTTGAACAGTATTTGTAAATGAATATAGACAGACAACAAGAATTGTATCTATAGAAAGATTTATTTGTTTATGGACATTTCATGGACAAAAACTGAAGAAGAACTATACAGTATACAAAATGGATAAAGACAATGCGAAAAGTTAAAGCCAAACAAAGTTTCATTCAGTCTCTCAGGTGGCTTAGATTTCATTTGGCTAAGGCAATTGTATGAGTGGAAAATTGATAAAATAGCAAGAATGGCTCAAACTCGCCACCTTAAACTCCCCACAGGTGAAAGTAGATGCCGACTCACGGAACCTCATCAAGCGGTGGCTGCAAAGTCAGATTTCTTTGCTACTATCACTGCAAAAAAAGAAGTTTTTTTTAAAAAGGGATGATTTTATGAAACGAACATTATATGGGTGGGGAAGAGGGAGGGAAAGAACCCCCCCTCCCCAAATTGTCCTGTCCTGATTGGTCCACCGAGTGATGAGGCATGACAGAAATGGTGGGTGTAACTGTCTGAGAATTCTATTCACTAGACAATGAAGGAACTGCAAGAGGATATGGATGGGGGGGGTCAGGTGAGCTGCAAGGGGTTTTGGCAAGGTCTAAGGGGTGTTGGGGGAAGGGTTGGGGAGTGGAACGAGGAGGGGCACAGCCCTGGGGGCATGTGCGCACATGCACACATGGATCTATATTTGTGTATATAACACGGCGCAGTTGCAAGAGGCCCATTTACCGAAACGATTCTTGCCATCCCTGAGAGACCCACACCTGCCCCTTTGCATCCAGGAGGGCTGAGCAGGAAGAGAGTGTGGAACAAAACCACATCTTGAACCCCCCCTGCGCGAAAATGCCGTGGGCTTGGGGGAGAGAGAGAGAGAGAGGCATCCTTTCCCACAGGTTAAATACCGGCAGGTAGGCTGGGCAGAGGCTTGTCCAAGTCAGGCTGATTGCAGCTTCCCTCAGCAGGTGACCAGGAGAGCTGCCAGCTCAGCACAGACTCTCAAGGCAGCAGCACCCACCACAAGCACCTGCGCAGCGAGGCATATGGGCAGCACCTCCTGGAGTGCCCTTTCGAGAGACAGCACTTCCCAGAGGCGTACGCTTCCCCCAGCCATGCCAAGGGAGAACAGGTGAGTGCTGGAGCCAAAGGCCGCCATGGCAGCCTTGAGGTAGGGGTGGAAGGTTGGGGGCGGGGCTGGAACTCAGTGGTAGATGTACGTTTTAGATACATGAGGTTCCAGGATCCATCCCTGGCACCTCTAATGTGTTCAGGGAGGCAGGAGCGGATATATTGTTTAATTATAGCCTTCCCAACTTGTGTTAACAAGTTCTATGATTTAGCAGAGTAACATTCCCCTTTTAAACTTACACAGCGGATAGGTTTGCCAGGCTTGCATAAGTCTCTAAAATAAGTTTCCTGGTAATTCCTCTTTTATTCTCTCCTAAAAACAATAGACATGACACAGTCTTGTATAAAAGTATAAAAGAGTTTACTCACACATTCTGTTCACAAATGGATCCCAGAAGGTAGACTTAAGTTACAAAATACAGTCATACCTCAGGATAAATACGCTTCAGGTTAAGTATTTTCGGGTTGTGTTGCACAGCGACTCGGAAGTAACGGAGCGCGTTACTTCTGGGTTTTGTCGCTCGTGCATGCGCAGATGGTCAAAATGACGTCACGCGCATGCGCGGAAGCGGTGAAACACAACCCACACATGCGCAGACGCGCTGTTGCGTCTTATGTTCTGTTCAGGATGCGAACGGGGCTGCGGAACGGATCCCGTTCGCATCCTGAGGTACCACTGTATATACATGTGGAATCTATCCGAGGAATTGAGTCAGAGACAGAGATGGCTGCCTGCCCTGTGCTATTTTGTTACCTGCACAGGTAAGGTCACGCCCACCTCTAGTCACATGTAGAGGAAGTTTGTCTCAGCACAGGAGGAAACAGGAAGTTTATCTACTGGCTGGACAAACATCCCTCTTCATGTCTAAACATGTCCACTCTAGGAATGTTGTATTTGACTGCTCTGTGTTTCACACCCCACATAATGTTGATACACCAGTGGTGACTCCCTAACTGGCAGGCGGGGGGGGGCATGGATGGAGGTGGGGGAGAAGCTACAAGACTGAGTTAGAGGTATGATAAATATATTCATAGAACCATAGAGTTAGAAGGGACCCCAAGGTCCAACCCCCTGCAATGCAGGAATCTCAACTATGCAGGAATCCCATCATAATGTGAAGGGATTCAGGGCTCATTGACACCGAAGGGACCTAAGGAACAAGTAAGGAGTCCCATGTGGGGAGAAAACCAGGGGGCCGAGGAGGACTGTGCTCAGATCCCTACGAGGCCCTGATCTCCTGCTGCCCCCACCCCTTTCTCAGGCAGGTATCTATGCTGTGCCCCTGCTCAACACATCCATGGACGACGGGAAATCTATGCTCACGCCTTCTAACCCATCGCTGAGTCGTAACCTGGCAGCCCATCAGACATACTCTGCTGTTACAGGTAAGGGCTGCCCATTCAGGGACGTCTAGGCACCCAACACGAGCACACCTGTGGGTCCTCCAGGCCCCACAACAGCTCTGAAGGAGAGGCAGGGCAGGGTGTACCCTGTGCATATTTGCTGCAAGTCGGTCACACAAGGGTTGTGAAGAGGTCTTTGTCAAAGCCTTAGCCCGAATGTCAGGAGGCATAGCTGTCAACCTTCCCTTTTTTGCGGGAAATTCCCTTATTCCAGCGCCGTTTCCCGCTGCTTCCCGCTGCTATCCCAGATTGTTAGCTATCCCGTAGACTGTCCCCGGGGCAGGTGAGGCTGCTGATCCCTTATTTTCAAATCTGAAAGTTGACAGGTATGTCAGGAGGAGAGCAATGGGCTTTCCCTGAGCGGTCAGAGGGTCATTTGGAGAGGTGAAATGTGGGTGGTACATCAATGTAGGTAAAGGTAAAGGGACCCCTGACCATTAGGTCCAGTCATGGCCGACTCTGGGGTTGCGGTGCTCAATCTCGCTTTATTGGCCGAGGGAGCCGGCGTACAGCTTCCGGGTCATGTGGCCAGCATGATTAAGCCGCTTCTGGTGAACCAGAGCAGCGCATGGAAACACCGTTTACCTTCCCTGCTGGAGTGGTACCTATTTATCTACTTGCACTTTTTGACGTGCTTTCGAACTGCTAGGTTGGCAGGAGCAGGGACGAGCAACGGGAGCTCACCCCGTCGCGGGGATTCGAACCGCTGACCTTCTGATCGGCAAGCCCTAGGCTCTGGCCCTAGCGCCAGTGGGTATTGGCTGGTGCTTCGGGAGGCAGGGAAGGTTCAATGCAGTTTGTAGATCCCTGAGCACCTCAGCTCTTAAGGGTGTTCCCTGGCATGTCTGTTGATTCTGGTTTCCTCTGTCCCTGTCTTCCCTCTCTCTCCCTCTCTTAGGGCGTGAAGTAGTGGGCTCTACCCTTCCAGGCTACCCTCCCCACATCCCAACTGGCGGGCAGGGAAGCTATAGCTCATCTGCAATTGCTGGCATGGTGGCAGGTAAGGAGCTCCCTGGGAAAAGCTTCAGGGGAGGAGGAGGTGGAAGGGATGGGACTCAGGTGTCCTAGTGCTTAGGAACAGCCAGCCCTGGGACACCCTGTGGCTAAAATTATGGTAGGGTGGGGTGAGGCGGCAGAGCAGCTGCTTGAATCTCTTAGGCTGGTTGTTCAAGTTTATTCACAGTCACCAACCTAGGCTCAGGGTGCCGTTTTTGGTGTATAAAGCCACACAGGGTCCCACAGCTGAATAAATGGGTCTACAATGGGTCTATATCACTTGTTGGGGTTTTGGTTCTGCTTTTGTGCTTCTAACTTTTAAAATTATTTTAGGTGTAAATTGCCTTGAGATGGTGGTTTAGAATGTGATTAATAAATTAATAATAATAATAATAATAATAATAATAATAATAATAATAATATGCAGCTTGGGAGCACAATACCTGAAAGATCATCTGGTCCCTTATACAGTGGTGCCTCGCAAGACGAAAAGAATCCGTTCCGCGATTCTTTTCTTCTAGCGGTTTTTTCGTCTTGCGAAGCAACCCCATTGGCGGCTAAGCGGATTAGCGCTATTAGCGATTTAGCGCTATTAGCGGCTTAGCGGGCTTAGCGGCTAAGCTGTTAAAAGGCTATTAACAGCTTAAGGTAAGGTAAAGGTTCCCCTGCCCGTACGGGCCAGTCGTGTCCGACTCTGGGGTTGCGTGCTCATCTCGCTTAAGAGGCCGGGAGCCAGCGCTGTCCGGAGACACTTCCGGGTCACGTGGCCAGCGTGACGAAGCTGCAGCTGGCGAGCCAGCACCAGCGCAGCACACGGAAACGCCGTTTACCTTCCCGCTATAAAGTGGTACCTATTTATCTACTTGCACTTAAGAGTGCTTTCAAACTGCTAGGTGGGCAGGAGCTGGGACTGAACGACGGGAGCTCACCCCGCCGCGGGGATTCGAACCGCCGACCATACGATCGGCAAGTCCTAGGCACTAAGGTTTTACCCACAGCGGAAAAAGCGGGGGGGGGGGGAAATGGCGAGACTCGCAAGACGTTTTCGTCTTGCAAAGCAAGCCCATAGGGAACTTCGTCTTGCGAAGCGCCTCCGCGACGGAAAACCCTTTCGTCTAGCGGGTTTTCCGTCTTGCGTGGCATTCGTCTCACGGGGCACCACTGTATGCCAAACCAATCACTGCACTCTGTACAATGTAGGAATCAGGCCTTTCTTGTGGTGGCCTCTCTGCCCAAGGGGATTCCCTCCCTTTTGAATATTAGACAGGCGCTGCCTCTGTTCTCTTTTAGGGGCAGACTGAAAATCATCTTCTTCCAACAGTTCTTGAAAACTGAGTTGTATTGAAATTGTTTTAAATGTGTTTTTCCAGTGTTATCACATGTTGCTCGCTGCCCTGGCCTCCTTTAGGAGGAAGGGCAGGTTTTAAATTTAATAAGAAAAATAAAGCAAAAGACAAGACTTCAAATAGAATAGAAACATTCTTAAAACAAAAACAAAAAACCCCCTCTGTTTAAAGAGTAACTGCAGCTGGTTCCATTAACTACGAACCCCCAAAGTTGGAGTCCTCTGCAAACTAGGTTTTTTGACAGTTTGAAATTTTGGACAGTATTACATGAAGAATTAAAGAAGATGTTGAAAATATCAATAATAAAAAACCCAGAGATATATCTTCTTGGATTGATAGGGGAAGAGATACCGAGGGGGGTGGGTGGATTTGTAAACTAAATGAATACTTAACTCTGGCAAAACTAACAGCTATTATAAGAAACCAATTGAATCAAAAATTAAAAAAGGAGTGGGAATGTTTTGATGAATATATGGTAAATATTGCTCAAAAAAAAGATGTGCTAATATGCCTAGATTAAAATGTAAAGTATCTGAGGGGAGGTAAATCAGTAAGGAAAGATTATAAGAATATATAGAACATTTGAGAAGATTGTAAAATGCAAAGATAAATGTAATCTCAGAATGTAGAGGAAATCTAGTGGGGGTGGAGGGAAGCGGGGGGAGGGACAGAAGAATATTAGGTTTGATTGATGGATATATGGGGTGGGTAGGGTGGATGTGGCGATGCCTTTGGATTATTTATATTGTAATATGGAAAAAAACAGGGACGCGGGTGGCGCTGTGGGTAAAAGCCTCAGCGCCTAGGGCTTGCCGATCGAAAGGTCGGCGGTTCGAATCCCCGCGGCGGGGTGCGCTCCCGTCGTTCGGTCCCAGTGCCTGCCAACCTAGCAGTTCGAAAGCACCCCTGGGTGCAAGTAGATAAATAGGGACCGCTTACTGGCGGGAAGGTAAACGGCGTTTCCGTGTGCTGCGCTGGCTCGCCAGATGCAGCTTTGTCACGCTGGCCATGTGACCCGGAAGTGTCTGCGGACAGCGCTGGCTCCCGGCCTCTTGAGTGAGATGGGCGCACAACCCTAGAGTCTGTCAAGACTGGCCCGTACGGGCAGGGGTACCTTTACCTTTTTATGGAAAAAAACAATAAAATATTGTATTGAAATAATAATAATAATAATAATAATAATAATAATAATAATAGCACAAAGCAGGCTAGCTGAACATTCCTGGAGCATGCTGAACATTCCTGGGCAAAAAAGTTACACTTCTCTTGGCGCTGCTCACTTCCAAGGGGAGGGTAGTCTGTACAGAGCAGCTTTTCTGGTATCCGCGCCCCCCCCCCCCCGCCCATTATGCACTCTTCACAACACAGAGAGAAAACAAGATAGAGACAGGTGATCCCAGCTGCAACAGCCATGTGGGGCAAGGGCAGTGAGGATGCCCATGGCTGTCTATGCCCCTTCCACACACTTTGCCCGCAATGCCCAGCTTTGCCACCTCCCCAGATTGCAGGGAAAGCCATAGAAACATGTGGTGGGTCTCGTCCTGCCCCCCTCTTCACCCGTTCAACACAACCCTGTCACTTAAAAATGGATGTGGCATTTTAGAGAATAGAGAAAATGCCTCCTTCCGGGGTCTTTCCATCCCCACTGAGACGCATCATACAGTCCCCAAACACCTGGAGTTATGCAGCACAGCATCTCTCCTTCCAGAGCAGCCAGGAAGCGCCCCCCCCCACTGCAACCCACAAGCCTGAGGCCACCCAGCCCCATCTGCCCCCTTAAAGGGCCAGCGTCTGTTGGTGCTCCTGTTGGCATTGAGCCTCCTCTGCCCACTGGGACCATCTGTTCCGCCGCCCCACCTCCCTCCCTCCCTCGTTTCTTTGGGTTATTTCAAACTCATTTTGCAAAACACAGTGTTAGACTCACTCCAATAAAGGTCTTGAGAAAGCACAGCAGCATTAAAAACCAGAAGACTTAAAATCAGCAATCACTCATTAAAACACTTTCCAGAACGAAAACATTTTTGAACGCTGTCTGAAAACAAGAAGCTGAGGAGCTGGGCTTCCCGAAGGAGAAAATTCCGCCGCAACTGTGGCACCACCACTGAGATAGCCTTGTAACTGGCAGCCCCTTTGCAAAAGGCCGCTGAGGCCAACTTGATGCAGACTATGCAAGTGTCCCTATTTTCCAGGGACGTCCCTGATTTAGAGAAGCCATCCCGGTTTCTGATTTGATCATGGAATGTCCCACTTTTCTTTAGGATGTCCCTATTTTCGTTGGGGAAATGTTGGAGGGTATGGAGTTATCCGACCCAACAGCCATCTGAAGGCAAACCTGTACAGTGGTACCTCAGGTCACAGACGCTTCAGGTTACAGACTCTGCTAACCCAGAAATAGTACCTCGGGTTAAGAACTTTGCTTCAGGGTGAGAACAGAATTCATGCTCTGGCGGCGCGGCGGCAGCAGGAGGCCCCATTAGCTAAAGTGGTGCTTCAGGTTAAGAACAGTTTCAGGTTAAGAACGGATCTCCACAACGAATTAAGTTCTTAACCTGAGGTACCACTGTATAGGGAAGGATTTTGTTTTGTTTTTAAAAAAATGTTTAATGTTTTATATATGTTGGAAGCTGCCCAGAGTGGCTGGGGCAACCCAGTAAGATGTGTGGGATATAAACAGTAAAATTATCCTTATGGAATGGGACGTCGTCCCTATTTTCATTGGAGAAATGTTGGAGGGTATGCTTGACGGCTGGAGCAAGTTCAATGGGGCAAAAGTTTTCCCTCCACGAAACCTGATCCTAGCCATTAATGTGTTTGAAAAATGAGCTCAGAAACGATTTGGCCCCAACTGGCACGTTGGATAGGTGTAAGAGGATCGGACTTCCTGTGGCCATTTTGCAGCCTCTAAGGCAGGGGTCAGCAAACTTTTTCAGCAGGGGGTTTGTCCACTGTCCCTCAGACCTTGGGGGGCCGGACTATATTTTTTTGAAGGGGGGGAAAATGAACAAATTCCTATGCCCCACAAACAACCCATAGATGCATTTTCAATAAAAGCACACATTCTACTCATGTAAAAACACCAGACAGGCCCCACAAATAACCCAGAGATGCATTTGAAATAAAAGGACACATTCTATTCATGTAAAACACACTGATTCCCGGACCATCTGCAGGCTGGATTGAGAAGGCGATTGGGCCAGATCCGACCCCCGGGCCTTAGTTTGCCTACCCATGCTCTAAGGGCAAATCCTGTGCACGTTGACTCTGAAGTAAGCGCAACTCTGTTCAGGGGTGCTTGCTCCCTAGTAAGCATGTTTTGCTTGCCAGCCTAAGCTGCGCCTGAACTTTGCAAGCCTCGAATTCTGCTGTCAGGAGGAAGGCCTTGCCCACTGAGGCGGGAGAAGCTGGCAAGCTGGTGCCGCCGTTCCCTTTGGCTTGGCGGACGTGCTGAGCTGGTGTGTCCCTGGGTTACCTTGGAGATGTGGTTAATGCAGCGTTGAGAATACAGAATCTTCTCCCTTGCGCGCTCCCTCCCCTCAAGCGTGAAATGAGATTGGTCAGGAGAAGAAAGGAGAGATTGGGGGCTGTTTTTACACCGCTTGTAATGAGAGCACTCCATCAAATGCCCCTTGAAATCTTGTTCCCCTCCCTCGCAGTCAGGCTCCAGCCCCACCCCCCTCACCAACACCAGCATCCAAATGGTTTGAAAACCTGCTCTAACCGACACCCCCCTGCAAACACACACACACACACACACACACACACACACACACACCTGAAGACAACCTAAAGACAAATACAAAGACACCTCTATCCGCTAAACCAGGGGTAGGCAACCTAAGGCCCGTGGGCCGGATGCGGCCCAATCGCCTTCTCAATCCGGCCCGCGGACGGTCTGGGAATCAGCGTGTTTTTACATGAGTAGAATGTGTCCTTTTATTTAAAATGCACCTCTGGGTTATTTGTGGTGCTTGCCTGGTGTTTTGACATGAGTAGAATGTGTGCTTTAAAAAAAAATGCATCTCTGGGTTATTTGGGGGCATAGGATTTCGTTCATTTCCCCCCAAAAAATATAGTCCTGCCCCCCACATGGACAGTGGACCAACCCCCTGCCGAAAAAGTTTGCTGACCCCTGCCTTAGAGGCTGCAAAATGGCCACAGGAAGTCAGATCCTCTTACACCTATCCGACTTGCCAGTTGGAGCAGGGGCCAAATCGTTTCTGAGCTCATTTTTCAAACACATTAATAGCTAGGATCAGGTTTCGTGGAGGAAAAACTTTGCCCCATTGAACTTGCTCCAGCCGTCAAGCATACCCTCCAACATTTCTCCAATGAAAATAGGGACGACGTCCCATTCCATAAGGATAATTTTACTGTTTATATCCCACACATCTTACTGGGTTGCCCCAGCCACTCTGGGCAGCTTCCAACATATATAAAACATTACACATTTTTTTTAAAAAAAATCTTCCCTATACAGTAGGACCTCAGGTTAAGAATTTGATTCGTTCTGGAGATCCGTTCTTAACCTGAAACTGTTCTTAACCTGAGGTACCACTTTAGCTAATGGGGCCGCCCGCTGCCGCCGCGCAATTTCTGTTCTCATCCTGAAGCAAAGTTCTCAACCCGAGGTACTATTTCTGGGTTAGCGGAGTCTGTAACCTGAAGCGTCTGTAACCTGATGCTTATGTAACCCGAGGTACCACTGTATTATTTTTTCAAAATATAGTCCGGCCCCCCACAAGGTCTGAGGGTCAGTGGACCGGCCCCCTGCTGAAAAAGTTTGCTGACCCCTCGGCTGACCCCTACATGGGATTTGAGGTTAAGCAGACAACCCTACCTTTCAGGGTCATTGTTAAGGACCACCAAGACTAGTGTACGTGACATATTTGGAGTACTTGGAGGAAGTACTAGAAAAAGAATTATGCGTGGAATTAAACATTGCGCTGATACAATCAATCTGTGCAGACGTTTCCGCTTGCCAGATAGAACAATCTCCCCCCCAATGCCCCCCCACTCTTCTGGGACTCAAGAGAAGATTTGAGGGAGGCGTGTGGGGAGAAGAAGGGGGAAGCCCCATTGTGGAAACGGGAGTCCTGTTGCTGGCTTCTGTAGTACACTGGGTTAAGGCCACATCACACTTCAGAGTGGTGAAAAAGCAGGCCCTCCATGTGTCCCTATTTTCCAGAGACGTCCCCGATTTAGAAAAGCCATCCCAGTTTCTGATTTGATCCCAGAATATCCCGCTTTTCCTTAGGACATCCCTATTTTCATCCGAGAAATGTTGGAGGATATGGAGTTATCCAACTCTTGAGCCCGCTGAAGGCAGCCCTGTATAGAGAAGTGGTTTTTTAAAAAAATGTTGAATGCTTTATTATGTTTTTATATACGTTAGAAGCCACCCAGAGTGGCTGGGGCAACCCAGTCAGATGGGTGGGGTATAAATAGTAAATTATTACAGTGGTGCCTTGCAAGACGAAAAGAATCCATTCCGCGATTCTCTTCGTCTAGCGGTTTTTTCGTCTTGCGAAGCAACCCTATTAGCGGCTAAGCGGATTAGCGCTATTAGCGGTTTAGCGGCTATTAAAGGATTAGCGGCTAAGCTGCTAAAAGGCTATTAGCGGCTTAGCGGCTTAGAAACAGGGGGGGGGGAGCGAGGAAAAAATCCACAAGCCCATAGGGAAGCAAGCCCATAGGGAAAATCGTCTTGCGAAGCAACTCAAAAACGGAAAACCCTTTTGTCTAGCGGGTTTTCCGTCTTGCGAGGCATTCGTCTTGCGGGGCACCACTGTATTATAGAACAGGATGTCCCTATCTTCATCAGTTGGAGGATATGAAACATTCAATCCTTCCTCCTATGGAATTCTGCGAATTGTAGTTCTGTGAGGGGACTAGGGGTCTCCGAACATCTCTTGGCACACTTTTTTAAAACCTACATTTCCCAGGATGCTATTTTTTTTGGAGGGGGGGAGCTATGACTATTAAAGTGATATAATAGTGTTTTAAGGTCTGGATGTGGCCGAAAATAGCATCCGGACTTCTGTGGATTATTCCTTATCTGTCAGGAGAAGCTCTTCCACCCAGTGGCGTAGCGTGGGGGGTGCCAGGGGTGCCAGCCGCACCGGGCGCAACATTTGGGGGGGGCGCGTTTGGCCGGCCCTCCTTGAGGAAGCAGGAACCCCACTGTCCAGGCGGAGAGACCTCCTCCCGCCGCCAGCCTTCGGAAGGCTGCTCCGAAGCCTGGCGGTGGGGCAGAGAGCAGGGGCAGAGAGCGTGGGGGGTGCAGGGGGTGCACGCCGCCTGCCATGCCGCCCTGGCTGCTTCAACCGCGTCAGACAGCCGGCTCGAGGCTCCTTCCGGCCGGGTCTCCCGACGGGGCGATGCGGGCGGAGGCTCCGGCACCAAGCGCCACACCGCCCAGGCTCGGGTCGCTGTCTGGACGCGCGCAGCCCGCCAAACGCATCATCGGCGGCGCTCTAGTGCCTGCGCGCCAAGACCGCCCACCCGCCCCGACGGCCCCCCCTCACCCGCGCCGGAGGCCGGCCGACGCACTGGCCCCAGAGCCGCCCCCTCCCCGCGCCAGAAAGAAGCCGCGTCGGGACTAGCCGGGCCGGGGAGGGAGACTGAGAAGGCTGCGCCGCGACGCCCAAAGATGCGCGTCTTGGCGCAAAGGGGCCCGCGGCACCCAGACGCGGAAGGGACCCTCTCCCCCTGACCCGCCACTGAACTGCAATTTCCAGCTCCCTTGGCAAATCCCAGTCCCCAATCCCCAAGATGCTTTATTTGAGGCAGGGGTCCTTTAATTGCAAAAATAACACCACGGAGGGCAGTAGTCACCAGAGTAGAGCCGTCAGTATTAATGACCATGGTTAGGGGTTAGGGGGCGCAAATTACTTGCCTTGCCCCGGGTTTGGGGGCGCAAATTACTTGCCTTGCCCCGGGTGCTGATAACCCACGCTACGCCGCTGCTTCCACCCCCCTCCACCCCCTTGGTGGAAGATTGGGAGTGAGACTATAAACTGCTAATAATGCTTGACTAAATGGGGCTGTGGTTTCCTTATGAGGACACTGATGTGGGTCACCGTTTTCTTTCCATTTACAGGTGTATAGATAGACCTCTGCATATCTAGAGAGTACCCCAGCTGTTCAGATGCTGCTACCTTCCTTTGGGGTGGCCCCCCTGTTTACCTCCAAACTGAGAGGGACCCATTACAAAACATTGCAGCATAGAGCACATAGAAAGGGGGGTCAATCCTTTTCGGAGTTTCACCTAGGAATGCATCCTCAGGGAAGGGGGATTTCAGGAGCAGAGAAGAGATTAATTACACCCCACTTGTCTCTCACCCCACTTTCTCCTGCTGGAGGGCTGCCCTACCTTAGCTTGCGCATTTCAGGGCGGGGTAATTCTGAAGACTGCACCCTTTGAGCCTCTGCCTGGGTTCAGGTCTCCCTTGCTCAGCCGCTGCTCAACTGTCACCAGCAGCCTGTCAGCTCAGAGGTTCCTGCCAAGGCCATTGGGCTTTTGTAAAAAACCTTTTCATGAACAGGCTTCAGTATTTCTGCATATATGAGGAATCCCCCGAGTTTGCAGAAGCTCCTCCCTTAAATTTGGGTGCCCCCCATTTCACTTCCATCTTGAGAAGCACTAGAGCCCGAGTCCCCTCTGTGGGAATGTTCAGGGAGGCAAGAGAGGATATATTGTTTATTAATATCCTTCCTAATTTGCACTAGCAGAGTTACATTCCCCCTTTTTACATGCATAGCAGATAACTGGTTGCAGGCTCGTGTGAGCCTCTCAAGATTAGATTCCTGGTAAGTTCCCGTACATCCCTCTTAAAAGAATAAACACACCACAACCTTGAGCAAAGTATATATAAAAGTTTACTCACATCATCAGTTCACGGTTGGAATCCCTGAAGGCAGACTTAGTTACAAATATGTACATGTGGATCTACCCCATATGGGGGTTAATTCCAGTGACTGCAGACTGGCAGTCACTGCAGTTCACACGACGAAAGGAAGGTGGAAAAGAGGAAGTGAAAAAGAGAGAGGTGTTCTGCGTGCCTTGTCCTTTTATTACCTGGGCAGGTAAGGTCAGGCTCACCTCTAGTCACATGCAAAAGGAAGGATGCTGCAGCCAGGAGGCAACAGGAAGTTTTCGACTGGCTGGACCAAACATTCCTCCGCATGTCCACTCTAGGAAAACAAGGAATGTTGTACTCGATTGCTACTTGTGTATCACATCCCACACACTCTTAGAAGGTAGCAGGAGGAAGATGGCAATGATGATGGCGACAACCAGATTTGATTTTTGTGGTGCTCGTTGAAAAGCAAATTTGTAGCCTTAACACCACATCAGCCCTGCATTTAGCTGTTGTGGAGATGTCCCCACTTGCAGCCCCACCAGCGAGCCTCCCCCAGCTGCCTCTGACGCGTGTTCCCTTCTCTTTGTCTCCAGCAGGGAGTGATTATTCTGGCGGCGCCTACAGCCACGGCCCTTACACCAGCTATGGAGAGCCCTGGCGATTCCCCAACTCTGGACTGCTGGGTGAGTCTCCTCCTCTGGGGCTGCAAGGGCAGGTGGTTGGGGGTGGGGGGCTTTCCCAGCTTGGCCTGGCAGCTTGTGTGTCAGGTCTCCTGGGACCTTGAGGGCCAAAGCTGAGGGCTTAGGCAGGTGAGGACTCTTTCTGGTGCTCTCCGACACAGAAAGGAGGAGCATCAGTCCTTGCAACTAGCCAGCAGCAAGGAGCTTGACTGGGCTGACCTGACCCACTATGAATGCTGGAAAGTAGAACTGTTTACTTCCCTTCTCATGAGATTCCTGCATTGAAGGGGGTTGGACTAGATGACCCTTGTTCCCCCTTCCAAATCGAAGATTGCTCTTTGCAAGCTCCCAGCTCCAACATGACCTTCTCTTGGCGGAGTTGTGAATGCAGTCACTGCCTGTGGCTTCCAGCAAAATATTAAAATACAGTAATTCATCAAATATTAAAAGCTTCCTTAAACAGGGCTGCCGTCAGATGTCTTCTAAAAGTCAGATAGTTGTTTATTTCCTTGACATCTGGTGGGAGGGTGTTCCACAGGGAGGGCGCCACCACCGAGAAGGCCCTCTGCCTGGTTCCCTGTAACTTCACTTCTCGCAGGGAGGGAACCACCAAAGGCAAAGCTGTCAACGTTTCCCTTTTTTTAAAGGGAAATTCCCTTATTCCAAATAGGATTCCTCGCAAGAAAAGGGAAAAGTTAACAGCTATGGCCAAAGGCCCTCGGAGCTGGTCCTCAGTGTCTGGGCAGAACGATGGGGGTGGAGACGCTCCTTCAGGTATACTGGGCCAAGGCCGTTTAGGGCTTTAAAGGTCAGCACCAACACTTTGAATTGTGCTTGGAAAACGTACTGGGAGCCAATGTAGGTCTTTCAGGACCAGTGTTATGTGGTCTCGGCGGCCACTCCCAGTCACCAGTCTAGCGGCCGCATTCTGGATTAGAAGAGGTGCTTTCTCCAGTGGAAAGCAGGTACAAGATGATGAGCCCTTGTGACTAAGGCTAAGAACAGTGATTATCTGATGAAAGAATTTGAATGGGATCCCCAAATTTTTTGGTGGTGGTGGGAAGTTAGAGAAAATAAACTGTCCTTTGGACTCCATATCCCTTGTAGGTGGGCTTCCTTCCAACCCCATTTCCTTGCCACAAATGACCACGCAGAGAGGTCTGAGACTTTCCTTTCCCAGAGGCCCACAGCTCTGCCCAAATATTTTGAAACCCAAAGTGACCAAAGCTCCACCTCCGCTTCTGCTGCCAGTCACACACCTTGCACAGATACGAGAGGCCAGATAACTTTCTGCTTCTCTTGCGGGAAGGAAGCCATTTGACCAAAGTCCCGCACAGGAAGGAAGTAGCCTGGCCCTGTCTCAGAATAGGGGGCAGGGAAGTCAATGATCCCCCGGGCTGTTTTGATGGCATCTTAACATGAACCCTGCTGAGGTCTGCAAAGGCTGTGGGTACAAGATGATTAATGTGTATTGAGTTGGAGTGAATGGTTAACCTGGGCAGGTTATTTGCTAATAGCCTCTCTCTCTCTCTCTCTCTCTCTCTCTCTCTCTCTCCAGGTTCCCCCTATTACTACAGCTCATCTTCACGGGGCCCTGTACCTCCCAACACCACCTACGACCACCTGTAGATGATGCAGTCCCTCTGGGAGCCAGGCCAGCTCTCCTGGGCCACTCTGTTTACAGCCCAGCGGCAACAAAGAGGGAGGTGGACTGGTTCAATCTGCAGAGTGCCCCAGTGGGCAATGGAATCCACACAAGCAGTTGCAGCAATTGCAAGCATGCAAGGCCATCCTGCTACCCATGAAGCTGGGAAGGATGGAGGAGCAGGTGGCATTGATGTGCTTGCGTCCCCGGACTCTAAAAGTGAGGACAGTCTAAACACCTTGAAATCGAGGAACTCAAACCAATGAAATCAAGTGATGCTTTATGAAGTCACTTTGCTACTGTTCTCTCTTGCACGAAGGCGGGTGAAGGTGCTTGTGCAAACTGTGGGTCTTTGAAAGGACTGGACACTTGGAGAAGGGCAGAGAGAATAGTTGGGAGAAGAGCAGGCTTGGGGCTTGTACGCCTGGGCTGCTTCTCTCCTCACCCTAGGGGAACCTGGCTGCAGTTTAAGTTGCTTGCTTGTGCAGGTCGCACCGTCCCTTATTTCTGGCTGTTCCTGTTTCGTTCTTGCCATGTTTGAACAGCAGGAAAGGGAAGGCACAAATGCAGCCTCACAGATAAGGACCCCAAGTGCAACTTTTGTGGGTGAAGGCAGAGGTGGCTGATTCAGTTACAGATGGCGCGAAGACAGATGGGCTGAGCATCTTTCGGTCAGAAGGAGTGGGGCACAACCAACAGCTGGTGGGAAATTTCCCAGTGGAGGATTCTCAGCCTGCAACTCCAAGTTAAATCTCACAATTCCTCTCCTGGTGGGCTCTTTCCCCCTCATCCTCTTTTAATGGCTTGCTCTAATACAGGGGCCAGATCCGGCCAGCAAACTGCTCTTGCCAACATTTGCAGACCTGATCTCATTTCAGCGTTGGCAGGGTACCTGCAAAGTTGCCAAGGCAAGATGTTGAGGGCCTTGTCCTTTTTGAGCAGTTGAGCTCTTCCTTTGCCTAGTGGAAACTGAAGCAGAGCTGCTGGAACGTGCTAGGTGTCGAGTTGCGCTGTGTGTCCACATCTATATGCCTTTGTTTCATGCTGTGTGGACTGTACTTTACACAAGCTGCACCCCTGGGAAATGGACGTGGGTTTTCGCCCTGCCTCCATCAGCACAGAACAGTCTCCTCCCCTGCATCCCTTTGAATAAAAGCAGTTTGTATTAATGACACAAAAGCCTTGGCTCTGTAGGGATGTGTATAGATGCTAGGAGAAGAGATATTTATTAGATATTATCTTTCTTTCCTTATGTTGAGGAAGCAGCGTGCCATACCTTTGCCCCTTAAAAGGGAAGCTTTAATAGGCTAGTTTTAGCCTTTTAGTTTAAGTAATCCAGGATGCTTTAAGGCAGACTGGATTCTTCTGGTGTTTCCCCCTTTTCTCCCCTTAAAACAATAATCACACAAACAGTCTTGTAAAAGTTTAAAAAAAGAATAACATTTACTCACTCAGAATACTTGTTGAAGAGTAACAGATACGGCAGTTTTGTTCAGGCAGGCTTAAAATGATAATCCAGTTACTTTAGTTTAAAATTAGTCACGTTGCTGGAATGGAGGTGAGAGCAAAGAGCAAGCACCCAGCCAGGTGAGATGTTACATATGCATAGACCCTCCCCCTGATGGGGCACCTGGGTGTGTCTCTCACAGTCCTCTCTAGTAAATTTACAGGACTTGATGAGCTTCAGCTCCTATCTGGTGCCTATCTAGCAAACATGCATTGTTGGTTTGACTGCACTGCAAACATCCCACGCACCCATTCTCAGGCAAAACAACATACATGCTCTTTTATGAAACCACCCAGAATCCCATCTTGACTCAAAGGTTCTGGAAGCTGTTTCTTGGTAGATACTTGGTCAGGATATCAGCAGTCATCTCTTTGATGTGGCAATAAGCCAACTACACAAGTCCGTCTTGGATGGCCTCATGTACATAGTGATACTTCATCCCGATGTGCTTTGTCCTTGTGTGGAATTTCTCACCCTGGGACAGCTCTAGGCAACTCTGGTTGCCCCACTTACTTCCTATGGCCTTCTTCCCAGGAGGCAGGTCAGTAAGGATTCAAGTGTTGTTTTGCTGCAATGCATCCATATCTCCTCCTGTGCAGCCTCCCTCCATAGACTGACTTCTGCAGCTGGCATCTCCTCTATCCCTTCCCACATGGAAGGTCCCCTGAGGTAATGCCAACCCTGCAAAGTAGGGTTCTGGATGAGCGTCTGACCTGTGGTCCTGGACCGGTGGTTCCTCCTCCTCCTCCAGGGCAGGCTTATCCCCGCTGAGCTGCTCCCCTTCGTCTCTGGTGCTGCTGCCAGGAGTCTGGTCCTCTGCATCTTCTTCTTGTGCATCGCTTGCAGAGGGAGCCATGACACTAGAAGGCAGATCTGGACATTGACGTTTGTGATGAGAAGTATACAGTGATACCTTGGATTAAGAACTTAATTCGTTCTGGAGGTCCATTCTTAACCTGAAACTGTTCTTAACCTGAAGCACCACTTTAGCTACTGGGGCCTCCCACCAGCTGCCCTCGCACCACCGCGGCCAATTTCTGTTCTCATCCTGAAGCAAAGTTCTTAACCCAAGGTACTATTTCTGGGTTAGCGGAGTCTGTAACCTGAAGCGTCTGTAACCTGAAGCGTCTGTAACCCGAGGTACCACTGTATAAGGTCTTTGGCTTCTTCTGATTTCTCAGAAAAGTCCACAACACTATTCCTTGTCTCAGCTTTGTTGTGCTCAGATGGGAGACAGATTAAAGGTAAAGGGACCCCTGACCGTTAGGTCCAGTTGTGGACGACTCTGGGGTTGCGGCGCTCATCTCGCTCTATAGGCTGAGGGAGCCGGCGTTTGTCCGCAGACAGCTTCCATGTCATGTGGCCAGCATAACTAAGCTGCTTCTGGCGAACCAGAGCAGCGCACGGAAACGCCGTTTACCTTCCCACAAGAGTGGTACCTATTTATATACTTGCACTTTGACGTGCAAGTATATAAATATATATTATTTATAAATATATAAAGTGATCCTTCATGGATCACTGCCTTGCCGTGGCGAAGGGGCTTGAATAACTCAGAGAAGCTATGAGCTATGCCGTGCAGGGCCACCCAAGATGGACAGGTCATAGTGGAGAGTTTTGACCAAACGTGATCCACCTGGAGCAGGAACTGGCAAGCCACTCCAGTATCCCTGCCAAGAAAACTCCATGGACAAAGACAACAGGCATATAAAAGTTATGACGCTGGAAGATGAGCCCCTCAAGTCGGAAGGTGTCCAACATGCTACTGGGGAAGAGCGGAGGACAAGTACAAGTAGATCCAGAGCTGATGAAGCGGCTGGGCCAAAGCCGAAAGGACGCTCAGTTGCGGATATGCATGGAAGCGAAAGGAAAGTCCAATGCTGTAAAGAAAAATATTGCATAGGAACCTGGAATGTAAGAACCATGAACCTGGGTAAGTAGGTCCATGGGGTCACGAAGAGTCGGACACGACTAAACGACTAAACAACAACAACAACAACACTTTGACGTGCTTTCAAACTACTAGGTTGGCAGGAGCAGGGACCCGAGCAACGGGAGCTCAGCCCGTCATGGGGATTCGAACCATGACCTTCTGATCAGCAAGTCCTAGGCTCTGTGGTTTAACCCACAGCGCCACGCGCGTCCCTGGGAGACAGATTACCAAAGCTCAAAAGGTGTGCATTTAGCTCCCTCTATTAGCAGCAGTCTTCTCTGGAGATACAGCACAGTTGCTGAAGCGCCTCCCCGCATGTGTTGGGTTAGAGATGCATCTTTTTAACACACACCTTGCCATCTCCATGATGGATCTGAACTTTTTCAGCTACCGAGTTCTGTTGTGGGGTATAAGGAACGGTGGTTCTGGAAGCTGTCTCTTGGTAGACGCTTGGTCAGGATGTCAGCAGTCATCTCTTTGGTGTGGCAATAAGCCAACTAGGAAACTGGCAGGACTCTTGAGCTTCAGCTGTACTGCCTGTGTCTATTTAGCAACCATGCATGGCTGGTTTTGACTGCATTTTAAGTATCCAACAGGCTCGTGGTCCTCAGCCTTCATTTTGGGGAAGGGGAAATCCTTCTCTTTCCATCTGTTGGCAAAAGAAGATGGGGACCAGCTGAGGGAAGAAGAACCATGCTCTGTGGTCCCAGGTTCAAGTGACAATTGAAAGAATCCCAGCAGGTAGCAGCTCCCTGATGTAGTAGATATGGATCAGCTGCAACAGATCAATGTACAGCAGGGACTGGCCAGGCTACAACCTCCACTCTCTGGTAGATTTACCCTCTCTTGCAATGCACCACTGGATAAGACTTCTGACCTGCCCTTTAGGAACTCTCCAAAGACTGCTGTTTGCAACTGGAGACCTTTTTGTCCCTAGCCCAGGTGTGGGGAACATCTGGCACTCTGGATGTTGCTGAACTACAGCTCCCATCATTCCTGACCATCAGCCATGTTTGCTGAGGCTCATGGGAGTTGTAGTTCAGCAACTTATGGAGGGCCAAAAGTTCCCTACACCTGCTCTAGGATCTTGGGGTGGCATGGACATAGCCCTATATCAAATAAAAAAGTACTTAACTGAGGTTCTGCCCCCCATAACATAAATCCTGGCTATGCCCATGTGGGGTGGTGATAATGCAAGAGGTGTTCTCAGTGGCGTAGCGTGGGGGGTGCAGGGGGGGCCAGCCGCACCGGGCGCAACATCTGGGGGTTAGGGTTAGGGGGCACAAATCCACGGGTTAGGGGGTGCAAATTACTTGCCTTGCCCCGGGTGCTGACAACCCACGCTACGCCACTGGGTGTTCTGGTAAAAACTCCAAAAACTTCAAAGTATCTGCACTTCTGTTTTTTTTTTTTAATGAAAAAAGCATGGTGGTTTTTTTAAGCCAATGCTTTGTAAAACAAACTTGCAACTTCTAAAGAGTCAGCTTTTTTAAAGAAGCCAAAAGTGCTTTCAAAGGAAGTGAGTAAATAAACTTGTTTTAAGACATTTGGCACTCTTGGTCCCACAATCAAGGGCCCATCTAGTCCAATGCAGGAATTTCAATGGGGTCCCCCATCCTATTTGAAACCAGACCAGACCCTGCTTAGCTGTAGCAAATATGCTAGCGGTTTTATTATGGTTGGTCATATCAGGTTTCTGCTGGGAACTGGAAGGATATCATCCCTGGGACCTAAGAATTTAGATGTCACAGTGGGAGAGCTGGAGTCTGTGAATTCTAGAAGAAAAGGTGCTAACCAGGCCACCTAGGTTTAGCTTGACCTTGTACACTCAGGTGGAGCCTCAGTGAT